GAATGGCTTCACACTGACAGGGAATAGGGTTAGATTGGGAAAAAATTCTTCCCTGTGAGGGGGGTGAGGCCCTGGCACAGGTTGCCCAGAGCAGCTGTGGCTGCCCCATCCCTGGAAGTGTCCAAGGCCAGGCTGGACGGGGCTTGGAGCAACCTGGGATAGTGAAAGGGGGGTGGGACTGGATGGGCTTTAAGGTCCCTTCCAATCCAAACCATTTCATTGTTCCATGATTTTATGATATGCAGCTTCCCAGAATTCATTATCCTTATACCAGAGAGCAGGGGAAGACCCAGTAGTAGGAAAGTGAGTGTGAGACGGGACCTTTTGCAGGATCTGCAGCAGCACATCTTTGGAGTATCCCCCTCCCGTCTCATCTTCTTTCCTGCATTTCCATCTGAGCTGGGAAATAAAGACCAGGAGTTAATTTTGTCTGTTTGAATGCACTGCTGTGCTCAACGCTGCTCCCACCCCCTGCACATTCCCCACGTTTGCTATTTACAGCCACACTCCCAGGACTGCCAAGACAGTGATCTCAGCACGGGAATGAGCACAGGGAACAAACTGTTTGGGGAACAGGGAGAAACTGTTGCTCACTGGAATATAAAAAGATCACATTGAAAGGATGCTGATGGCTCTGTCAGGGTAATTAGCAGATGTTCCCCCGCGCTTAAAGCAAAAACAACTCAATTCCAGGCTCAGAAATCTGGAGCAGACAGAGGAAAGGTGAGGGAGGAAGGGATTCTAAGGGCAAGGACAAGAGCTGTTCACTTGATGATGCACATTCCACAGGGGAATTTCACCTCCACTGTAAAAAGGGATGAGCCAGCTCAGCAGGGTTGAAGTGTCCCTTCTGTTTTCCATCACGTTCTATAAGTTTACACCAAAATCCAGCTTTTTAAGAGTGTCTTACCTTGAGTTTAGGAGTTACTTTGCCTTCTGCTCCATTTCTTTCCTGCTTGCCTAAAGAGGGGAAAGGGAAAAACACAGACTGAAAGGACATGGGCGAGAAAATTCCTCGGCATTTAGCACAAAATCTTCCCTGAGATCATACATATGACAACAGCAAACACTTCTGGATTTCCACTAGACCATTCCAGCCCCAAAAGTCCTGTGCAACAGGAACTGCAGCACAGACTGAATATTCCATGGCAGCGTTTTTCCCTTCTAGGATGCCCAGACTTGCCACGATCAAGGCAAGAAACAGGTAAGTAAAAATACAAGCAGGAGACCTGGTAGCTTCTGAGACATTTTTCCCTGCAAAAGGAAGTTGTCCTGGCGGGAACAACTGCAGAAAAATTAAGGGTAGACAAAAAGCAGGATAGCACAGTCTAGGAATTTAATTTGGCCCTGCAATTAAATACTTTATAATGGTGCATTTATTGCAAGGGATCTCAAAGTGGCTTACACCAAGCAAATTCTCAACATCCTCCCCCAGTTTGCGAAAATTGAAAGAAAAATGAAAAAAAAAAAAATTAAAAATAAAAGGAGGGAAGAAAAATAAAAAGATGTGAAATGAAGTTAAGAAAGGCAAAAAAATACAGGAAAAGCCTGGGGACCCCAAGGAGAGTTTCTGTCTCTGGGGCTCTGGTTGTTTTGTTGCTTGAACTTGCCAGATCAGGACTTTTTCTGGCCCTGTACGTGAGGCAGGTGAGGGCTCCGAGCTCCCCTGTGCTCACCTTGGCTGTGCTGCTCCCTTTCCAGCCGGATCTGTTCCCTGATGAGCCTCTGCTGCTCCTCCAGCTGCCGGGAGCCCTCCTCCCGCAGGCGGATTATCTACGGCACAGGGAACACAGCACGGGACACCTGAGGCAGTTCCAGGGCTGCTCCATGCCAGGAATCCCAAGGGGAGCTTGGGTGTCCTGGGACACCCCTCCTGGGACAGCTCCAGCACTAAAGTGGGATGTTCCCAGTGACACCATCCCTCCCAGCCAGCAGATAACCAGGCAGTTGTTGTTGTTGTTGTTGTTGTCGTCTACTGTGCAAAAGGAAAGGGGCAGGAAAAATAAACTCCCCGAATTAACATGTTTGCCAGACTGCCACAAGATCCCTTCTACCTCTTTTTCCATGGCCAGGTTGGAACAATCTGGTCCAAAGGAAGGTGTCCCTGCCCATGGCAGGGGATGGGAACTGGATGAGCTTTAAGGTCCCTTTCAACCCAAACCACCCTGGGAGTGTGTGATTCATAGAGCCCCTTAGTCCCAGAGCCTGAAGTCCTGCAATCCAGAGATTTGCTGCACCTCATCCCATAGATTTCATCAGGAAGGGAAAGAAGACTTTCAGCAATTTTTCCTCAAAAGAAGCAGAGAAACCTAAGAATGAATCATTACTTCTTCTTCTAATGATCTCGTTATCCTGATCTCCTCCTCCTCGTTCTCCTGGGACTGGGCTTCTCGTTCTCTGGCTTCAAGATCTGCAGAGAGGGAATTAAATAAAAAATAAATTCATTAATAAAATGCAAAACATTTAACAGAAATTAAAACAACCCAAAGAGAATTTTAATTTTTCCCTGCTGGCCAGGGGAGGAGGGAAAGATTCACAAATGTGGCTACACCTACACTGATATCCTGGTGTCACTGCTACCTCTCCTCTGCCCCCACACATAAAAGGAGTCTAACAGGCATCAACCCCCTAATTTCCAGAGCAGGACCTAATTCCTTCCTTCCCAGAGCAGGGCCATCCCAGCCATGGCTGTGGGAGGAGATTCCAGGTGGCTCCTGCATTGTACTGGGCACAAAGAACCCAAAGCCATCAGACATGGATGACAGCAGGTTGATCACTGGAGAGTTCCTGTGGGAGAAGAAATGCAAACACCCAGTTCAAGGCAACGGGAAGGTTTTGTTTCATTACCAAGCTTTACTTTCTTCCTCTTCTCATCGAGCTTCTGTGTCCTTTCTGCAGCCTGTTTCTTCGCCCTCCTCACCCTGTCATATGCTGCCTGCCAAGGAACCAGCACAACAGGGTGAAACTACAGGAACAGGGAGAGAAACTGGAAAGCAGGGAACAAAATGACATCAGACATCACTCCTAGAAGTGTTGGAAGTTAACACAAATATCCCGAAAACACGAGAAGAGGCCCGAAGATCTCCAGATGGAAGGGTGAGAAAGTCCAGGAATAACTTCAACATGTACTGGAGAGAACTCTGACCCATCTTCAGAGGTGGGAAGAACATTTTGGTTCCCTGAACATCCCAAAAGTGGCTTTAGGGGCACTGGTGACAGCCCAGGTTGGCTTTGGAGCACAGTTTTACAACTAAAAAGGGTCTATTTGACATGAAATATTTATTCACAGACACGTTTGAGGTGCTATGAATGTATCAGATCAAAGAGCACCCAAAATCCTCAGCAGCAAAAACACACCAACATTAATTCAGCACTAGAGAGATCTAAGAACTGGGGTGAACTGGCAATTTCACTGGCACCTGTTTAAACCAGTTGCTAATGTGTTCCTCAGCCTGCACAGAACCTCTGTGTAGGAGGTGAGCACAGACTGCCTCTCATATTACCTGTAGAATAGTTGTACAACTGTTTTTATCAACTGGGAAAAGCTGTGATTTTCCCTTTTTTTTATTCCTTTCCTGCATGGCAAAGGTTTGCTAAACAGTTTTTCCTTTTAAATATATAGAAGACCAAAAGTTCTTGGATGCCCAAAGCTGAATTCCCCCTTTGAGGGGGGATTACAAGCTTTGCCAGTGTTTGAAAAGAGAAGTTATTTCATGGGTTTAGCTCTTATCACCTGAAATCAGCACACGTCTCTCTTCTGAGCTTATCTGCAGAGAGTTACTGGCTCATTTTTGGTCTGTTTTTATGAAAAGCTTGGAGCCTCAGCAATCACATCCAGGTATTATTCATTTGTCAGCCCCTGACTTGGAGGGAACTGCAAATGCACTGTTGCCATGGGAATTTGGTGTCCCTGAATCAGGGGTGGTTATCATCGATTTTATTAAATGGGATATGCTCCAGTCTAACATGTTATTAAAGACAGCATCTCACCCTTGGAGAGAGCATCTGATCAGAAACAGAATGTTTCTCCCAGTTTTTGTTTGGCACATAATATTTGATCCCATGGAGAAGCACAGGGAACGACAGCTGAGAGTTGTATTCACAGACTCTCCACTGGAGAACAGAGCAGGACAGACAGGGAGAGTTTCCAGCAGCACCCCAAAATCCCACCCTTCCCAAGGGATGATCCTTACCCTGGCTGCTGCATCTGTGAGCACGGCCAAGGCCTGGGACAGCTGGTGGAAGATTTCCGCTGGGAACGAGAAGAAATGAGGGTAAGATGCAGGAAACCATGTGAGGCATCTGGGAAAGAACAGGAAAGACAATTCCTTATGGGAGAGACCTGCAGGAATGTCTCTCCAAGAAAGAAGAATCATCTCTCCAAAGCCAACCTCTGCCAGGGTCACCTCAACCCAAAGGGCAACATCTGTTACATCAGCCTGAGAATAAATAAGGAAACAAAACCTGGGATTGTTTCATTTTAAGAAAAATCTTGAACACATGAACCTAATTTTTCTTACTGATTGTTTTTATCACGGGTTGCAATGTCTCCTTCATGGCACATTTAGCTGGAGCTCATAGTTTTCTTCTTCCTCTCAGTGCTTTTCCTTTCACTTTCTCTTGTTTGTGTACAAATAAATCATCAAGCATTCCTGCTTATGTCGTATTGGAAATTGTTATGTTATATTACAGCCATCTAGCCTTTAGAACTCTTTCCTTTGTCCTATTATAAGCACTGGGAAATTATATTTATTTTTGTGAAGATGAATTATCAGTAGTCTCCATGCACAAAAAAGAAACTAATTGCTAATTATGCAGTTTCCATCTACAACAACCACTCCCTCCCTCACTGCAGGCAGCTGAAATTCCCCCTTCCACACAAATCCCGCCTGGCACCATCACCAGCTTTCCAGCCCGAGATCCAAACTTTTCATCTCACATCAACATTGCTGCTCCTCCTCCTCTAAGGTGACACAGATAAGCCTGAGGCTTCCCCACATCCTTCCCATTGCTCCTGCAGGTATCAAACCTCCCAGATTTCCCCTCAGTGCTGCTATTTTTTCCCCACAGTTACTCTGGGAACCAGGGCAGCAGCAGAAGCCAGACCTTGCTCAGCCTGGGTGAGCTCAGCTCCACAGCCGGGGCCCTTTCCCCAACAAAAACGGGCCGTGCCCACAGATAATGTGCTGTTGAAGTTTGGACTGTGAGAGATACGGGTGAAACCAGTGTCCAGCCAAAGGTCTGGGTTCAGGCACCACGTGGGAAGATTTTGAGAGGTGCAATTCCAGTGCCAGCACTGACTCAACGCTGATGCTCCCAAACCCGACAGGGATCGCTCAGCCCTAAAAACCGGAGTCAACAGCAACGACAGCAACTCTGAGCCCCGTGTGTGTGCGTGTTCCAGGTGACAGGCACCCCGGCATTCCCTCAGGGACAGTGCTGAAGGGAAGCAGAGCCGCTTCCAGGAGCCTGGAGAGGTGAAAACTCCCAGGAGGAATTGCTGCTGGCGTCTCACCTGCCCGGGGGTTGTCCGGGTTCTTGTCCGGGTGGCACGTCAGGGCCTTCTGTCGGAACGCTGTCTTCACCTGCAGGGGCCACGCTGGGAGTTACTGGGGTGGGACTGGTTTGGGTTTGTCAAAAGAAAAAAGAAAAAGCAGCTTGGAAAAAA